AATACTTCCTCTGAGAAGTAAACTGATTTATAAGCAGTATTTATGATAGGCTACAGCCTTCTAAATTCAGATTACTTTACAGTCATAGCTCTGAGGAGACTATGTCCCTTATGGAGGTTTGCTTCTCAACCTTGACAACAGAAAATCAGCACAGCCCTGTGAACAGTAGCCCAATCTCCTGGTGTCCTATACTCTGCCCAACTGCTTAGTTTCAAACTGCAAGTGTCCCTGCCTTCCAAGGGGCCGAGGGTGGCAGCTCAGTGAAGCAAGGGCTCCCTTGCACTTTCTGTGCTGTCCTTGTCTGTGACCACTGGGTGGCCACCAATCCCAGAGGTAAAGCCCCGAACATGACACCAGAGATACCAGTGACACCAAGAAGTCCCCAACTGTGGACAAGATTGCTGTGACCACACCCCACCACAGTACTATCCATCCTCAGTGCAAGTGTGACAATCAAGTAACAGACTGCCCCGCCTCTTCTTCACTCAGGGGTCCCAGGGTACCATCTGCTCTACATCATCAGGCCTGACGTCTGGCCTTTCTTACAGGGCAAAGATAGGTAGCACAGATGCAGCACCCTCTCAGGGTGAACAATAACCTCAAACCTAGGCCCAGTCCTTTGCAGGCATCGAACCCCTCAGGTCATGGTCAGTCAGGATCCTCCTGAACGCTTCCCAGCCTTCTTGCAGATCTGGTCTAACTGCCCCTGTCACTCACAGCCCTTATATCAAATCCAGATACAGCTCGTTTCCTAACCTACGACTGAAGAAACTCAGACTAGAGACAGAGGGAAACTGCAATGGGGAGAGTGCCCTGTAGATGTGGAGCTGAGTAAATACCTAGGTTCCAAAATGGTTCACCAACTCTGTAAGGCCAGGCACAGCCATCAAGCGTGTACACGGGACTCACACCTCCTACAGACCAACAGGACTCTGCAGTACTCTCCATCCAAAGGCACCACACTTAACCTGGTACATATGGGGCCTGAGTTCCACCCCAGCACCACCAAAAGGATAAAAATTGGCAAGACCAACATAAGTAAATATTTTAAATTACCCAAGAATGGAATTTGTGTTTAAACAAAGAACCTCCTCGCCACCCAGCAAACAAATGTTCACCACAGAGATATGCACCCAGACGCATACGGTGCTGAAGCAGGACAAGGCGCCAGGATGACGTGGGTGCCATCCATCAGAGCAGGGCAGGTCCAGACCAGCTCTCATTGGCACAAGGCTCTGTCCACCCACACTAGCTTTACTTTCTCAGCTCATCTTTAAACTCTTCCCTGGACCCTCCACCAGGCCAGCCAGAAACCACAGAGACAATCAAGCTAGGGAGTCAGGACACATGTACTCCTCAGCGGCTTGACCCTCAGCCCAGCCACAAGACACTTGCAAATATGACGGTGGAGCACAGCACAATCTAGTTGATGAAAACTATAAAAACCTTGCCTCAGTAAGTCACCAGGAGAGTGAATTTCAACAGTGTGTCTTCCTTTACTGTAAGAGATGTTGTACTGACTAGTTTTGTGTCAACTTGACATATGTTTGGATCATCTGTGAAGAGCAACTCAATAGAGAAAATGCCCCCATAGGACTCGCATGCAGGCACGTCTGCGGAGGCATTTTCTTGACGACTGACACGGTAGGACCCAGATCAGTCTGACACTCTAGACTGACTGGTGCCCCTGGGTATAGTAAGAAAACAGGCTGAGCAAACCAAGCCATTAAGCAGCATTTCTCAACGGTCTCATTCAGTTCCTGCCCTGACTTCCCCCAGAATTGACCTGAGAGTTATAAAATGAAGTGAGCCCTTTCCTCCCCAAGCTGCTTTTGGTCATGGTGTTTTGTCACAGCAATAAAACCACTATGACAAATACGAGGCTAAAAACAAGATTGTGCTATGAAAACCCCGACTACTATTAGAAGGTGCTGTGTATTTCGAGGGAGCAGGGAGTTGACACAATTTACATTTAGGACTCCAGGATTTCTAGGGTGCTTGGGACATGTGGGAATTCCTTTAGCACTTCCATGTTAAACCGGCACATACTAAATACCAGCTCCATTGAGAAGCCTGGGATCAGCCAATGCCTCAGATCTGAGGATATTCACAGACACATGAAGCCGCCTCGAAGGTGGGCCAGGTATAAACATGAAATCCACTTGTTTCTTTACATCTCATTCTGTGCCTGGGTTTCAACACGACCCACCCCCGGGTGAGGTGCAGAATGACAGTGGTACATTGGTGCTCAATACACTTCAGACATCTTGCCAGAGCTGCTCAGCCTACTTAGGCTTTATGAAGTCTTATCTCTTTCACTAGATCTCACTTACCTCTTTCTGACGATCTACAAACCGAATCTTCCTGTAGTCTTTGTCATCATAAACCTACGGGGGAAAAAAATAAAAAGACCAAAGTATCACAGGACAATGTTCCCTGTGGTCTACAGCTATTGATGAGGACAAAAGGCAGTGTACTTGTACTGAAGGAGTCCCATGGTAATGACAGACTGTAGTGCAGACTGGAGACAAGCCCCTGCCTTCACTGACGGCCGACTCCAATAGGCGACATTTCAAGGAGACACTGCTCTTGGTTGTTGGGTTTTTTAATCCTCGCCATTATACTGAATGTTAGAATCGTTTTATTCCCTACTACCAAAACTTGGAACTAAATATAAAGATATGATCCAAAGAATAAGCGAATACCAACTCCCAACCGGAAGCCACCTGCCAGAAGTCAAAGCAGGGCTGCGGGCTGCACCCCAAGGTGAGCCCGGTAGGGCTGCGCGCGAGCCTGGCAGAAGCACACCTTGCTACGCGCCCTGCCACCGTCAGTCTCGGGCTCCAGGCGTGGCCGCCGCGGCCGTTACCTGGCCGGTATGCGTGATCTTCTCCCCGCTCGGCGACACTCGCACCCCGAAAGCCCGTGCAGCCCTAGGGAGAGCCAGCAGCCGGCGGAAGGTCAACGCCGCCGCCATCTTGCCAGTGACCCTTGACCCAGCGCGTCGCACGAGGCGCCGACGCAGGCGCACAGCTGTCGGCGGGACCGCACTCGCGGGATTTATTTCGTCCTGAGGTTTCCCTGGGCCGGCGGGCGGTGTACTGGCAGGCAGGTTCTGCTGCTGGATGGGGCGCGGAGCTGCGGGTTAACTGTGCGTGGTGTTCAAAGGGGAAACTGATGATGTTCTGTGTGAGCTTTTATGGCCCTAGAGAAAATGCAAAGTTTCAATGTTTACTGAGTTAAATAGATTGTTCAGCAGTAGAAACAGGACATGCACTTAGCTTTTCTGGTCGTGTGTGTTGGGGAGGGAAGGGGAGACTTCTGAGAAGTTTTGCAACAGCGCTAATCAAGTTTCCAGTTAGATTCCCCGCGAATTTACCTGGCATGGAAAAGCAACCTTGAAAAGCTACTAAATAGACGCGATGCAAACCGCCCGCTGTAACTCTGCAGAGTCTGTTGGCTGGCCCGTCTCACTTGAATGCGAGTCAGAACCTTCCTCAGAACTACAGTGTGCAACTTTGCTCAGGTGTGGATAGGAAGGACACGGACCCTAGACTAGGAGGGACGATCATTAATTCCAAGAACGTGCTACAAACAAGCGTGCGCTGTTTGGGGTCCTTGGGCAGGGCTGGAGACTGATGACCTGGCACTTACCCCTCTGCTTCAGCCATAGCATGAGCACTAGTTGAGTCTGAAGACAAAGGGAAGATGACCAGAGGAGGTAGGAAAGCACAAGGGTGCACAAAAAAGCCTCCAAACAAATGTGGACCTGAATTGCCCAGGCAAAGCAGTACGCCCCATCTTCCTATCTCAGCCTTTGGAGTACTGGGATTTCAGGCTAATTTCATTTCACTACACCATGTTCTACAGATTCGTCTTTCATCCTCTTTTAAAGGGATTTATTTCCTTTTATATTACATGTATGAGTATATATACCTATATATGGTCACATGTGCGGGTGCCTCATGCCAGGAAAAGGGTGTAGGATCTCCTGGAAATGGAGTTGCAGATGGTTTGAGCTGCTGTGTGGTTGCTGGGGACTGAATGATGGTGATCTTAATAGACTAAGCCAGAGGTTTCTCAACCTGTGGGTGGCGACTTCTTTGGGGGTCAGACAAGTTTTTCATGGGGGTTACATCAATAAATATCCTGCATGTTAGATATCTACATTGCAATTCATAACAGCAGCACAATTTCATTTCTGAAGTAGCAACAAAAGCAATTTTATGGTTGGGGGGTCACTACAACATGAGGCACTGTATTAAAAAGTTGCAGCACTGGCAAGGTTGAGAACTACTGCACTAAGCCATCTCTCCAGCCCTGATTTGTCTCTTTTTAAAATGTATTACTCGTGTGTATGTGTGTGTGTGTGTGTGTGTGTGTGTACATGTGTGTTCATACTTACACACATGGGTTCTCACACGTCTGGATGCCACAAGTTAGAAGTCGGTCTCTTCCACATGGGTAATGGGGGTTGAATGGCAAGCATTTTTGACTCCTGAGCCATCTCTCTTTTTAAAGCGAGACAACTCTGGGGTCAAGGCATTCCCACGTCCAGGTGCTACGTGAACCTTGTGTGAAGCGTGAGACTGAGAGTCAGAGATGGGAGGGTAGCCTTCTGGCAACCTACTTTGCTATACATAAAGAAATAAGAAGGGTGGATTTACGAACTGCCTGAAACCCGAGATAGAAGAGTTAACTGTAGAAGCCCGTGATGGTGTGGGGAGTTCACTGTCAAAGTCTTCCCACACTTCTTGGAGCTTTTCAAAGTTTGGGGTAGGGGGGAGACTTAACTAAAGCAATGTCTGCGCGTGCTCTCCTGACCTTATCCTATGTATGCCAGAATGTCACTTAATGGAAACATGTGTATCTGGATGTTGTTGTTTTCCAATCAATATATTCACCGTTGGAAGTTTCTTTCTCAGTCTACGTCTGCATTTTTGTACTTAGTTTTTCCTTTCCCCTCGTGGGCACAGGTCCTCCCAGTCCACAGCTGTTCCAGCACCCACAGCAGCAGTGCGAACCTACAGGACTCTCAAGGGAGGGCTGTATCTCCGGAAGCACACTCCTTGGGCTTCCGCTTCCACGTGACCACACGCCATCTTTCTTTCTGGCAGTGGCGTTCCCCGCCGCACTGCGCAGACGCGGAAGCTTCCGGTAGCCGGCGTCTGAGGTCGTGTGGGCCCGAACTCGCCGCGGGTGGCACCCTTTCCCAGGTGCGGGTCTGTGTCTCGCGTTCCGTGGGCGGCAGGCGGAGGCTCGTGACCGGGCTGCTGACCCGGAGTGCGGGCGGGGGCCCTGGCCGAGCTGTGCTTCACGATTCTCTGACTTCCGGGGGGGGGGGGACTCGCTGCGGGGCGCGGAGCCTTGAGTATAAGCCTGATAAGTGTGCTCTGCCCTCCGGCTCCAGGGAGGGCCGTTGTTTTCCTACTGACGTGCAGCACCCGATGACCACGCTTGTCTCCCCACAGGTCTGGCCTCAGCATGGCCGCCCTGCTCGTGAGAAGCGCTGCGGCTTCGCTCATGCGTCCGTTCCTGCACCTGAGCCGCCTCGCGGTGAAGCCCCGAGCCTTCTCATTCCTCCTGGGGACCCTGCCAAGCACCAAACCCTGCGCAGAGGTGCGCTCACTTCTCTGGGGCCGCCCCCTGCCGCCCCTGCAGCCGTCACAGGGCTTCAAGACCAAGGGTGTCCTCAAGAAGCGCTGCAGGGACTGCTACATGGTGAAGAGGCGTGGGCGCTGGTTCGTACTCTGTAAGACCAACCCCAGGCATAAGCAGAGGCAAATGTAAGGGCAAATGCCCGTGGGAAATTCGTCTCACCGTAGCAAAGAAAAATAAATGCAAGCATTCTGGAACCTGAGATCTGTGGGCCTTAGGGTTTTGTTGAACTCCGCTTTCCTCCCTGAGTCGTAGCCCAGTTCCTTCAAATCTAGTCAGTCCAGAGCTGCAGATGGAGAAGGGTTGTTACTGTTCCTGCAGCTGTGTGTTGAACTAGAGGACAGAAGAAACTGGAATGCAAGGCTGGCCTTATCTCTTGAGACAAGGTCTGGCTCTGTAGCCCTGGCTGACCTGAGAACCTCCTGCCTCTGCCTCCCCCGCATTCCTTATCAAACGCAGCAGAATGCAAGTGCCTCCAAGAAGCCAAGTGAGCCGGAAGGTCCCTGAGGGGAGCGCTGCAGTCCTACTTTAAAAATAAACAATGTTGTTGAATAGTGACTGTCCCAACCTTATTCAAGGAAAATCTTGTTTACATGTAGATGACTTTCAGATACCAATTAAAAATGTTTGTCACGACTGTTCTTAAATGTTGGAGTAGTAGTGTTCTTTATACCAGCAAATTTGTACTTTCGGAGGGGGGTTAGTCCATTTTCAGCTCCATGAAAATGACAAAGCATACTGGCTTCTGAAGGGAGCATTAGGACACCCGCTGTTTTTCAAAGCTTACGTTCATTAGTATTAAAAAGCGGGGCTGGGGTTTGTGCTCTCCTTGGAGTAGGTCTTGGGCACTGTGCCTTTTTGTGGTTTTTAAATCTCACTAGTCCAGTGAACTTCAGCTTCACCTTGTATAGTCTACTTGCATTCCAGACTACAGCATCTGTTGTGGCCCTGTGACTCTGATGCAAAGTGCTGTGGACCCTCTGTCCCTCCAGGGAATGATACCTGGCACTCTGCATCGTTTTCCTGGAGTGTGATGAGGTCAGAGGTGTTTTCAGTGGGTGGTTACAGGAGATGGGCCATGGCCTTTTCCTGGGGTCTTACAATAGCTGTCGGGACTGTAGACAGGTAAAGGTCTGATATTTGGTGAACAGGCTCATGTGAGCAGGGACCCTCCAGACAAGGCTTTGAGAGGAGGGATCCTGGCAGTAGTGTATTTCTAAAGGAGACAGGAAAACCATGTGCTGTGTGATCTGTTGCATTTTGAAGAGCATGTGTAAACATACGTGTGAACATGAAGCCTGGAGGAGAGTCTGGGGACACAAGAGAGTCTGGTGATGAGAAAAGCCAAGTTAGTAGGAGAAGGACCTGGCACAAACAACACTATAAGCAAGTCCTCAGGCTCATTCTCCACACAAGGTCACACACTATGGGTTTACAAGCCTCTGATGGGCCCAGGCAGCAGGAGGTGAGGAGCAGAAACCCACTTAAACACCTGGCCAGTAGAGGGCCCTGACCCAGGGTGACTGGACAGTCCTGGCCAGAAGCACCCTTTTCTCATCGTGGTCACTTCTATGAGGCCACTTAAGTTCTGCTTCTGGGACTTAGTGGAAGAGCTAAGATGTGAATCCCAACTCCACCGTTTTTAGCTGCCTGACATTCCATTCCATTCTGGGCACCTTTCTCCCTGTCTAAAAGATGGGAAAGTTTCAAAGCTATAATGTCAGAATCAGAAGAATCCGTGTGTGCCTGTCACTGCATTAGTAATATAGGACGTTTGTCATCCTTTTATTTCCAGAATTCTCCAGTTGAAGTTGTTTTCAGTAAAGATAACTAAACTTTTGAATAGCCTAACTCATCCACCCTAACCCCTGGCAACAGGCGGAGCCCGGGTGGGGTAGGATTTTTGTCGATATAAAGACACTCATGGCCATTTGCATGGGGAGTGCCTGGCTCACCTCTCATTAGATGTTTCTCATGGTTCACAGCTTTGAGTCATTGAGAATGGCTTTTGTAAGACGGTTTGTCTGATCTTCAGGGCACTAGCTGTAGTCTTTTCTTCAGGAGATGGCACCACATACCAGTGACAGTGACCCTCAGGGGCTGCTCACAGTGCAGAAAATTCAACCTGCCCCACCAGCTTCCAGGTGAGAGGGGAATGAGGACAGACAGAACTTCCTAGGACCTGGCTTTTGGAATTCTAGTGTCAGGTCTGCCACCTCAGCTCTGGCAGGCCCAGGGAACCCCAGTTCCAGTCTTCTGCTGGATTGGTTGTACTGACAGGATAGAGTTAGTGGGTTCTTCCCTGGCCGCTAGGCCCAAGTTACCCTGACCTGATAGATACCTGATCAGGAATGCTTGCAGGTGGCCACCCAAGCTATGGCATCCGGAGTGCAGGCAGGAGCATGCTACAGAAGTCTGATGAGCACGCTTCCCTTCTTTTCACTGGTTGATTTATTTTTATTTTTGTCATGATGAAAAATTTAAGTCTTAAAATACTGTACTTTTTTCTAAATTTAAATATTTAAAGCCTTAATTTACCAAGCTGGTTTTCCCAGAAAAGCATTTAATTCTTTGAGTAAAATGTGGTAGAAACATTAGTTACTTTAGTTCCTTTCCCTGGAACAGCTTCACAATGTTCTGACTAGACCCTGTAGACTCTAATGGCCAAATAAAAACCTGTAAACCAAGACATTGTCTCTAGTCCTCTGCCCTCACAAGATGCCGGACACTGACCAGAGTGGCCCTCCCTTTGGTATCTTTGGCCAGTGACTGGCTGATGCCACCTGTGTCCTTCAGGTAGACCAGATGTCTCACAAGCACAGCTCCCAGCTGGCACCTAAGTGTTTGCCCCACTGACATCTTAGCAGAATACCAGTGCCCCCGAGAGGTCACAGTCTACAAGCCACGTGTGGCCCAGGAAAACTATGAATGAGACCTAACACAAAACAGTCAACTTGCAACATGATGAGATAGCTTTTTTTGTGTAACTCAATTTCAGGGTTTCAGATGTGCACTTCTTCATGTTAAACAATAAAGATGTATGTGTGTTCTTGGCAGTCTGTGACTGTGACTTGTATATTCTGTTTAGACAGAAGGGGCCAGAAACCTAGGAACCTCTTCATACCGTGACAAAGATGAGACAAAAGAGGCTCCATGAGACTGGCTGTGATGTGGAAGACCCTGAGTGAACTCCGCTATTGAGCCATCACCTATTATGGTAGCTACTATTGTAAGGACCATCTCCGGGTGATCTGAATATTGTATTAGATGAAAAGAGAATGAATGATCTTGAAGATTATGGGCTGCATGGACCCCAAGAAGAAGAGATGGCTTCAGCTGTGTGGAAGAGGCTTGTCTAGGCAAGGGGAAGCCAAGAGCTATAGCAGGACGGGACAGCACCAGGGTACAGAGATATTTAATGCTACACTCGCCACCAGGAAGCCAAGCCCCTTCCAGGAATGATGATGACAGGGCTAAAGAGTAGAGTAGAGGGAGACAGGGAAGGGCTTCAGTGTGGGTGAGAATGAAGACTCAGGCTGGAGTGATTTCAAGAGCATCTAGACTCCTCTGTGTGCACAAGCACCAGGTCCCTGTGCGTCTCCTGTGTGCCATGGGCTGGGCTGCCCATGCAGGGTGAGTGAGCGAGTTCCTAGGGAGAGATGGTCTGCTCCTCTTCCCAGCGCTGCTTCAAGCTTACTTCCCTCAGCATACACACTACAACCATACACCACACACCTCAAACTGCACACTACACATTATGCAGAGATGCCAAGGCCTTGTTCCTGGTGGCACTCTCCTAAGTGTGACTTGAAGCTAAGCTCCTTCCACCCACATCTAAGACAAGCCTCTCCTAGATAGCCCCACCTAGGTGTTGAAACCAAGACTAAGGTACAAGACAAGTTCACTGTGGCTTAAGGTAGAAACCCTCTCTTTGGAATACAACATAAGCTACATGCATTCAGGTGGGAGAGAGCTTGTGTATGCGAAGCCTGGAAAAATAGATGATTCCAACATTCTGTGGCTGTCCCTTCTTGGACAGGCTTGTATTGTCCCCTTTAAAGAGTTTCCAGATACTATGGGTTGTTTGTGTGACGGTGTGAGACTTGCCCAGACTTCCCAATCTTTACTCTCTTTTTTAATAAACCAGCATAAAGTAGAATTTATTTACATAATGCAATGATCCGTGAAGGTTACCATAACACCGAGGGACCATATTAGCCGCTTGAATGGAATTCATTAGAAATTAACTACCACTTAAATTAATTTTCCCACAGTCACAAGGCTGTAATGGCAGGAGAAGGAGCCGTCCATCAGCGGGTGCTGACAGGGGACCTGTCACCACCATTATTTATAGGTGAGTGTGCCAGCCCTGGAGCAGGCACCAAACACAAGCCTCTGGACTCAGAAAGGCCTCTTCAAAGGGCCCCCAAATCCCCTTCTTGATAAGGAACCCAGCCTTACCATTGCTCACACTAGCAGCAGGGGGTAGGCAGCAACGGGTCACATGGACATGGCCCAGAGGAACAAGTGTGTTCAGAAACTATACTGTAAAGTACACATACTTACAGGCAGTACCGGTGACTGACTTCGGGGCTTTTAAAAGGCCACTCAGGACCATGGAATCCCAGAGCCCTGTGTCAGATGAATGACCTACAGTGGCTTCTCAGCCTTCCCTGGAATGAGTCCAGATCTCAAGGGAAGAGCTGGCAGGGAGTCTACCAGGTCTTGTTTAGAAGAGCATGCCCCATGTGTGCATGCATGTGCATTAGGTCATTGTGGTGTGGGATGATATGTTTGTAAAAGCAAAGAGTGTTCGTGTCTGGTGTGTTTGTGTAGTGTTCATTTATGAGGACGCATGCATACATGCATTTCTGCTCATGTGTTGGGTTTTTGCGGTGATGTGCAAACAGTACACACACATGGTGTATTTATATGTGTTGCATCACTGTGGGTGTACATTGTCAGTGTGAGCTCACCTGTGAATTGTGCAGGTATGCTTGCCCATGTATGGTGGGTGTTCACGAATATGTGTGTATGCTTGCATGAATGTGTTGTATGTCTGTACATGCAAGTGCATTGGTAGATACCCCAACCAAAACACAGAAGAGGCCTTGGCTCCTGATTAATATCTGGACCACAAATCATTTTTGAAAAGTAGACATGATAGAAAGGAGTTTCTTTGGGCTCAGCAGTTCCAGGACAGAGGAGAGTCCCCTACATACAGAGGCAGGAACACATATCAGGCAAGGGGCTTTTCTAAACACTGCCTGGGAAGCTAAGGATGTCTAGCTTTTTCGGGAGGAAATTGATTGATGGGTAGGGAGAAGTACCCAGGAGTATGTGGCTTGAGGACACGTGAAGGAAGATAACAGCATGGAAAATATTAGTCCCGAGTGTATTGATGTTGGCATACTCCCCTGGCTGTGGTGCATCACATGCCCCTGGCTGTGGTACAGAAGAACCCCCTGGCTGTGGCATCTCCACCTGGCTGTGGTGCAGTCTGGGAACTTTCTCTTCAACAGAGAACTTCACGCTGATCCAGTTCCTTTCAGTCAAGAGTACTCTTCTTACCACAGCCCTGGTAGAGATGTTGCTCTAGTCGTGCCATCCAACCACAGAGTTAAGAGAGAGATGGACCAGTTCTTTT